CTTAAGGTGGATAATCTCAAATCGTCAATAAATCTATTTGTATCACTCATTCTCAACCCTCCTTCTTCATACCCATTCTTATTTATTATACTCCTCTTTTATTTATCATTTGTATCATTCAAAAATAGTTTTTCAAGGGAAGTAATACATCCTGCTCATATTGAAGATATGAACTAGTTTGGCGATTGCTAGGGTGTATATTACTGTTATTTTATAGTGTTAAATGTCTTTTTCTCCAAGATGCTAAGAGTCTATTGATTTCTTCCAGTCTCTTTCAGGTGTTGAGTACCCATATTCTTCAAGATCTGGTGTAAATTAAATACCTATTACATTAAATTCACCAGTTAGCCATTCCATTTTCAAGTCATTACATATTTCTTCAGTAGATGTAGCTTTTGATCCAATCCAGATTGCTTTTGATTTATCTAAATTGATTTTCAAACCTGACATTTTGTGTCAATAGCAAGATACAAACTATCCTCGGTTCCACCAAGGAATAGTTCAGTATCATCAGCGTATTGATCCAGTTTATATTCATTATCATTTATGACAATACCTTCGATGTTTTCATTGTTTCTTATCATACAACCAAGAATCTACAAAAAGAAAAATGTAACTGGAGAGTGGGTTTCCCTGTCTACATCCCCGTTCACTAGCAAAGAATTCAGAGAGATTACCATGTTGGATGACACAAGATGTTGCTTCAAAAGTCAATATATTTATCCATCTTACCATCTCAGAGCCAAATTCAAATGTATGTAAAACAGTGTCAAATGCCTTTTCAAAATCAATCAGAATTAGCAAACCAGGAATGTTTTCTTACTTTGTTTCCAACATAATGTCATATAGCAGTCTTGTATTTTCGCTAATAGTCCTACCTGGTATAAAACCAGTTTAATTACAGTGAATAAGTTCATCTAAAGTTGCTTTTAATCTTTATGCAATTCAGGAGCTGATAATTTTATAAATAGCATTGAGTAAAGCGATAAGCCTCCGTCTGTTAAGTAACACTGTGTCTTTATAGGATTTTGGAATACAGGTGATGACACCCTGTTTCATATTTGATGACATTTCATTCTAAGTTGATACATTTTTAACGAATCTATATATCCATACTTATAATAATTGTTTCCCCAAACAATTAAAGAAATCAATAGGCAATCCATCAATCATTGGACTTTGATTATTCTTCATCTTGTCAACATCGTGGTTACTTTCCTCCAAATTGATTTCTCTTTCAAGATTGTGTCTCAGCGTTTTGTTAAGAGTTGGAGTTTTAATATCATTCAAGCAGTCTTCCTCCTTATACTGTTCATGAGCAGCTTAGAGATTTTCAAAATTAACTTTACTTCATTAAGTATTGATTTACTGTCTATAATTTCTTTGTTATCATTAGTTATTGATTGATTTAGTTATTGAGAATTCTTTTCAGATGGCAGAAATATTTTGTCTGTGTCAACTTGGCAACTTCTCAATGACTTGAAGCAAGTCCACAAATCTATATCCTTCCCTGTAGCAATGATTCCAAAGGGGGAGTCGGAAACCTATGTCCTCAACGAGTCATCGTTGAAATCTTGTGAACGGTGTATCAGCCACAATCATGCACATGCATTTGGACCAATGTCCTGCAATTACGTTTTTCACGTTTTGAACAATGCACGATTCGTACGAAGTTTTCGGACAGCTGCATTGTGATCGGCAAAAGTTGTGTTTCGGTAAATGTTTTCAGCTTGGGTTGAAACCTGTGCCAGCGTTTTAGTTTTTATACAATAATTCTAAAAGTGATAACTTTCTTTTGCCCGGTAGTGTATGTGTGTCTGAACTACTTGAAGTGGCGTGTCTATGCCCATAATGGTACTGTGAGCACTACATCCCCTGTCAGTGAACAGGGCCGTGTCTGTGCCCTTAATGGTACTGTGAGCAATACATCCCCTGTCAGTGAACAGGGCCGTGTCTGTGCCCTTAATGGTACTGTGAGCAATACATCCCCTGTCAGTGAACAGGGCCGTGTCTGTGCCCATAATGGTACTGTGAGCAATACATCCCCTGTCAGTGAACAGGGCCGTGTCTGTGCCCTTAATGGTTCTGTGAGCACTACATCCCCTGTCAGTGAACAGGGTCGTGTCTGTGCCCATAATGGTACTCTGAGCACTACATCCCCTGTCAGTGAACAGGGCCGTGTCTGTCCCCTTAATGGTACTGGGAAAGCCTACCCACTGTCAGTGAAGCACCATTCGGAGAATAAAGATCAAATAAGATATAAGGCTTATTAAAATAATTCATTTACCACAAGTGGTACTGAATGAACAGCTGACAGACCTTTTAAAAATACTGCCATATAATGCTTCTTTGTTTGACTCTTAGTTGTATAGTAATTTGTAAAACAGTCGATGGTATGTGCTCACAGACCAAGGATAATAAACACTTATATTTGAGACATCGCTGCGTCGTACTCCACCGGGCGTACGTAATCCTAAGCTTATAAGTTATCTGGAGCACTGCCACTCAATCATCAGCCGCTAAGAACAGAACTCAATGACTAACAATGAGTTCGGTGTCGACATTACTCAAAACTACATCACACAATTGCTTATGCATATGCGCGAATAATGTTTAACAATAGGAAACACCTGGTGAAATGTTCTGGTGTAAATAGACTACACAGTGTCCACCAGTCATACAGACAAGCAGGAGTTAAACATTGATGCATGAGTTAAACAGACAAATATGGTTAACTTAAACAAGGATGGTCACACAGAAAAGCTTGGTAACAGGGAGGAGAATGGGTCACAAAGCTAAGCATCTGTCACACAGAGAAGAATGGCCACACATACAAACATCAGATCACACAGAGAAGAATGGATTACACACAGACAAGCATCTATCACGCAGAGAAGAATGGGTCACACAAACAAACATGGGTCACACGGAGGCCAGTATTTGTTGTATCCTTGGAAGGATTATTGTCTTTAAGAAAAGGAAGGCTCCTTATGACCTGATGTCTACAGATACAAATCATTCTCATTTTCAGTGTGGAGTTTACACGACGAAGGGCTTTTTAATTACAATGGAAGCCGGACACATGACTTTGAAAGATGAACGACACATTTTGATGCTTATACGTTTTTCAAAGAACTCCATTCATGAAATTACTTGAACACCGATGAACTACTTCCATATTCTTTGGACGAACCCTGGCAATTCCCTAGTAGATATACATATAGCCATACTGCTTTTTATCATTTTGACCTTAAAATCCTGAACTCAGCGTTATAGCATACACTGGGAAAGATCTGAGGGGTAAACTGCAAGTCAGCTCACGAATATTCTCACTACAATCTATTCCACTGAAGAAAACGAAAAAGGCACGTTTCGTATCATGGACACCATAACTGTCTTAATTGACAGTCCACAGCAAACTATAAATTTACCAAATATATCCGCTGGACATTCCTTTAGAATTGCCTCTCAATGATCTGCCAATTGCCACGCGGTGACTTACACTTGTAATCGCCAAATGTACAAAACAACTTCGGAAATTATCGTGTCGATCATTTTGACGCCCTGTACTCGGAGTCAATGTATGACGACGTCCTGTCACATGGATTGGCTAACTGGAATTGTTCTACCTTTCTGCTGAAAATGATGCTATCATTTGGATTGGCTAACTGGCATAGTTCTTTAGAGACGTCTTTGATGTAATGATGTTATCATTTGGATTGGCTAACTGAGGTCGGAACTTGACGTTAATGCAGTCCGGCCCTATGAAGGTTCTTATTCTAGTGAACAATGCGAACATCAAATCTTACATATATGCATGTGTGTATCTACCTTGTATGAATGTGTTTCAGTGGTTTGCGTGGCAGGTTAACAGACACACCGTTATCACGATACAGGGGTTATTATCATTTCCATTCAAGGTTAATCTAATCTGGATCTGGTACATCTAATCACCATCAATTACTTGGTACGTGAAGCCGGTTCGTGCATGCATCCTGGAAGACGTAATTGCTTATCACGGGCTTGTTTTGTACACATAATCATTAACCAGAGCAAGGTGTTGTGCGATACCGAGGTATCATGTGATACACTGTCAGTGTACATCTGCATCACGCAAGCCTGACTTGTTTCCTGTTAGCTAAGCTGTCCCGAGCTACCATATGTGCGCCGTATCTATATACATCGTCACGTTATACTTTGATATCCTACGAGTAGCTGGGATGAACCTTAAATGAATTAAAAGTCTTCATTCATTTCAAAAGGTCCACTCTCCCAGCAAAGCAAGAGTATTGCTGAAGAAAAACCTGTTGCCAAGATAATTTGATGCAATTCGCCAGGTTATTTCTAGTCAAACCCTTTGATGATAATATCCGGAATCGAAATCCTAGCATGCCTGTTCATGTTTCGCCAAGTTGTAACCATCCAAGGTAAACTTGTTGTGGCTGGAAAAAGTACTGACGACATTTCGATCGATATACCTGGTTTACTATTAATTTAATGTTTACATTAATTCCATTGTTTGTCTCTCAGCGTACAAGTTGAGTGAGAAACGTGACGCTATGCCTTGGCTACAAGTTAATACCAGAGGTAACTCGTTTATACTCTCTACGTATGCTTCATGTACTTTATGTAAAATATAAGAAGCCAAATTCAGTTAAATTTAGATGATATGACACTTTTATGCATTGAAATAAATGAGTACATAAATACAGCAAAGATGGTTCGGTGTTACTGATACAGCCAGGCTCGGTAGGTTCAAACTCGGAGTCACGTACACTCAACCCAGGCTGCGAATGGGATGTCTTACAGGAAGCGCAGCCAAGTCAACCTTAGCGGAGATAGTGAAATCTCGCCCACTGCAGACCAACACTGCAGCCCAAAACTCCCCCAACACTGCAGAACAACACAGCAATTCAATGCTCCCCAACACTGCAGCCCAGCGGTCCACGAACACTGTAACCCAACACTCCCTCGACACTGCATAACAACACAGCAATTCAATGCTCCCCCAACACAGCAATTCATTGCTCCCCCAACACTGCAGCCCAGCGGCCGACGAACACTGCAGCCCAACACACCCCCGACACTGCATAACCACACAGCAATTCAATGCTCCCTCAACACTGCAGCCAAACTCTTCCCCAACACTGCAGCCCAACGCTCCACCAACACTGCAGCCAAACTCTTCCCCAACATTGCAGCCCAACGCTCCACCAACACTGCAGCCCACCGCTCCACCAACACTGCAGCCCAACGCTCCACCAACACTGCAGCCAAACTCTTCCCCAACACTGCAGCCCAACGTTCCACCAACACTGCAGCCCAAAGCTCCACCAACACTGCAGCCCAACTCTTCCCAAACACTGCAGCCCAACGCTCCCCCAACACTGCAGCCCAGCGGCCGACGAACACTGCAGCCCAACACACCCCCGACACTGCATAACCACACAGCAATTCAATGCTCCCTCAACACTGCAGCCAAACTCTTCCCCAACATTGCAGCCCAACGCTCCACCAACACTGCAGCCAAACTCTTCCCCAACATTGCAGCCCAACGCTCCACCAACACTGCAGCCCACCGCTCCACCAACACTGCAGCCCAACGCTCCACCAACCCTGCAGCCAAACTCTTCCCCAACACTGCAGCCCAACGCTCCACCAACACTGCAGCCAAACTCTTCCCCAACATTGCAGCCCAACGCTCCACCAACACTGCAGCCCACCGCTCCACCAACACTGCAGCCCAACTCTCCACCAACACTGCAGCCAAACTCTTCCCCAACACTGCAGCCCAACGTTCCACCAACACTGCAGCCCAAAGCTCCACCAACACTGCAGCCCAACTCTTCCCAAACACTGCAGCCCAACGCTCCACCAAAACTGCAGCCCACCGCTCCACCAACACTGCAGCCCAACGCTCCACCAACACTGCAGCCAAACTCTTCCCCAACACTGCAGCCCAACTCTCCACCAACACTGCAGCCAAACTCTTCCCCAACACTGCAGCCCAACCCTCCCCCAACACTGCAGACCAACACTGGACCAAGACTGCAGCCCAACACAGCAATTCAACTCTCCCCCAAAACGGCAGCCCAACGCTCCCCAAACACTGAAGCCCACCTCTCCTCCAACACTGCAGGACAACGCTCCCAATGCAACTCTCCCCCTACACTGCAGTTCAACTCACACACACACACACATATACTGCAGCCCAATACACCCCCAACACCGCAATGCAACTCTCCCCCACCACTGCAGCCCACTTGGTTGACACATGTCATCGGTTCCCAATTGTGCAGATCGATGCTCATATTGTTGATCACTGGCTTGTCTGGTCCAGGATCGATTATTTACAGACCGCCGCCATATAGCTGGAATATTGCTGAGTGCGGCGTAAAACTAAACTCACTCACTGCAACCCAACACTCCCAAAGAACAATGGAACAACGGGGAGTCGGACATCTTGGTACTTGGAAAGTCAGCTCGGTATTTTATAGCCGAGGTCCGCATATTTACAATGTTTTCCTGAATATTGTCAATCACATGTGTGCCACACACAAAATGTGTGTGACTTCTCTGGACATCTACTAGCAAGGCGTTGAATTCATTACAATATCTACATAATTTGAAAACACAAATTACAAACTTACGGTTTCCGTTTCAGTACAACTAGCTTCAAAGCTTGCCTATACTCACCTTGGCATGCCCCCTGTCAATGCATCTGCCCAGCCACTGTCATCAATCACCTGAATATCGGCACTCTCTCCTTTCCCAGCCCGAGCAGTGTGGAGATGATTAATGTGATTGATGGCAAAAACAGACGGGTTCAACACATTGGGTTGTTGTCTTGTGAGCAATTGTGTGGCCATAGCGATGGACAACAGTTACAGATACCCCATATTACAGAAATAGGGAGAGTAATTCGCTCTAACATCCTCCTCCGTGTAAGTTTTCATATTGGTGTACGCTTTGATTAATTTCATAAGTAGTCATGTATACCATGGGAGATTTTATGTGGCAAGAATAGATATGTTTAAAAACCATCTGTGAGCATTAGTCTGTGTACGGACAACCTGTAAAACCATGGAGACAAGCCAGTCAACCACAAATATCTGACGGATGAACCAGCTGATCGTCACGTTGATGTGAAGACAGCGCGCAATACCATCATACATACACCCACAATCTCATTCATAAGATATTCATTCATTAGTATTTCTTAACAAACATGCCAAATAATAAACTTGCCCAGCGTGAGCTGTGATCATCGGAATAGACCGGCCCTACATGAGCTATGTAAATCACCTCAGCCACGCAACTCGGCAGTATAGAGGGGCAGAGCGACGACGGTGATGCTGCAACGCTGGTGATGCCCCGGAAGCTGGCACTAGGGATTACCTGGCTGACACTAATCACTGTAGGCAAGTATACATCGTATATATTATGAAGGAACAGACATAATGGCAAGATAATGGCCTGTAACTCATGCTTGTTTAACTGGTTTAGTATTCATTACACAAAATGTAGGACTTGAATTGCTCGGGTTTCGGTATATCAGAACAACTTATTTTGTGTGTTGTGTCAGATACCGTTCAATCACTAACTCATGGATCACCAACACACCTCACTATACGGTCATATCAGTAGAACTATGTTTACTCGTGTGTATTCAGCCTTAACGACTGCATGATGCAGTCCCAGTTCTGATTAGTCCATACAACATGCCTTGTATTGCAACCATGACCACTATGACAACACTTTTCCATAATATCAATTTATCATATAAGATATAATTTATTTCTAAAATTTGTAAATAAATTCATTGCATCATCCAAAATAATCACATTGAAATATATATTTGTATTCATAACCTTCAAGCGCAGGTCAATGTCGTTTATCGATGCCATGTTCACCAGCAATAACTTGTCTTAAATCACTCACTAACTCCACCCACTGTGGTATTCCTACTCAACTTCGCGCTAACAACTTGCGTTCGCTAACCTGTTGATTTATATTTATCCTTGGTTTGGCGACTACGTCCATGTGTCGAGGAAAACCTCTTCTATTTATAATGTTTTCAAAAACTGAAATACCCCTATCTGATTGACACATAACTAGCTGACCTATCTTCTCGAATTCTGCATTATTAACAATGTTACCATGCTCCCATCAGACGTCTGTTTGAGAGCGGAAAGACAACAAAGAAATGCTTTAGATTCAGAGATAGCTACATCTGTCGTGTTTCAGAGATGTCCATCGGTGAATTCCCTGAAATAATGTGTGCATCTTTGTATATGCCATTTGTCCGCATCATTCATTACCGTAAATAACAGTTGCCAGGAAGATAACGAACAATGCCAGTGAATACGTTGAGATGCCACTGGTTAATGCTATTGTTGACATATATGTGGAGTAAATGCCAGCATGATATCAATGCCATAATTGTGAGTGACAGATGCTTGCTTTAGTCTTCGCCACTTGCTAAAGAATCATGAAATATCTCGATTTTTGATTGACGAAGCCATTTGCGTTGCTTACAAATTATTTGTAATTTATCAATGAGAATTAGTTAATCCATACATGTATGAACTGTTTGACTGTCTCCACAATCTTAAAAAGAGAATAGTGTGTGACTTAAGACTTCAGTATTTCAGCCGTAGTGGGACTAAAGAGAGAATAGTGTGTGACTTAAGACTTCAGTATTTCAGCCGTAGTGGGACTAAAGAGAGAATAGTGTGTGACTTAAGACTTCAGTATTTCAGCCGTAGTGGGACTAAAGAGAGAATAGTGTGTGACTTAAGACTTCAGTATTTCAGCCGTATTGGGACTAAAGAGAGAATAGTGTGTGACTTAAGACTTCAGTATTTCAGCCGTAGTGGGACTAAAGAGAGAATAGTGTGTGACTTAAGACTTCAGTATTTCAGCCGTAGTGGGACTAAAGAGAGAATAAAACAAAACATAACATTTTAGTGCATAACGTAACTAATAAAACTGTGAAAATCAGAATAATTCCCCCACCTCCAATCTGTGGAGACAACATGTACCAGAACCACTGGTTTCCTTGTCTGTGGCATCTGTGAAGGGTTTAACTACCATTTCTGTAATAGCAGTGCAAAAGATAACCTTACATGGCTTAAAATTGCGTTTGAAACTACTTTGAAACATCCTCTTGCTCATCCACTATTACTTTCCAGTTAAAAGAGCATCTCGATTATGTTTTATCAAACAGGGTTGGTGCATTCAAAGATTTCCAGGTATATAAAACTATTGTTCTCTATGGAAGTGTGTTAGTGCCACAGTCTGAACATTTCACTGTCTTCGTACAGGTAAACGTAGAAGATACTTTCATCTGCCCACAATAGGCATAACCTGGTATCGAATTTTCGACTTGGTTTTATGTAATCGTTGCTGTATTTAATGACTTGTTTGACTTTCAAACTAGACCTTCCTTTATTGATACAACTCTTCACTTAAATATGTCGAATTTGAGTTGTTAAATTAATATGTTTGAGGGTTTGTTTTGGTTTAACGCTCACACTTTGAAATGATTTCATCGAGTTATGAATATACAGAAACGGTCAAAATATATTTTGTTTCTACTATATCCATCCGGGGTCATAACTTCAAAACAAAACATCGCACGGTCTCAGTAACGATTATAATTATATCCAGTATGAAAGTATCATCTACATAGATAAAAGTATCTTCGAGGTAGGTGTAAGTATAATCAAAGCAGGTGCTGACAATTGTTTAGACTGTGGGGTTAACACGCTTCCATATTTATCGAATGCCATCGAATCTTGTTTTCTGTGGGTTTCTGTGTGTGTGTGTGTGTGTGTGTGTGTGTGTGTGTGTGTGTGTGTGTGTGTGTGTGTGTGTGTGTGTGTGTGTGTGTGTGTGTGTGTGTGTGTGTGTGTGTGTGTGTGTGTGTGTGTGTTTATATGGAGTTCTGTCAAACACAGAGAAACCTCCACAGGTCTTTATCGTGATCATATGTGTTTCCGCGTAACGTGTATCATGCCATGCAAGGGTTTGGGACTGGTTACACTTGCAATAACGTACTGAAGAACAGTGGTGAATAATGCAGGCAGTGTCGTAAAGACACACGTGCAGATTTGTGTCAGAGACAATTATATTTATCCAATGTAGCCAATATTTCAGCCAATAGAATTTCTCCACATTGTTTGAAAACTCACGTTTTGGCTATTTGGACGCAGGGGAACAACAAGGAATTATTACCGAAACAAACAAAGAGTGATAGGTATATTATATTAGTTTTTTCATCATTTTCGGAAGCTGGAGAAGAACATGACAGGTACATTTTTTTACTTTTGGATTTTCGATCGAGTGGATTAAGTTCAAAATGAGTAGTTAAAATAATGAGTCATTAGTGGTTTCACAGTATGTCATGACGGGCATTTGTACTGATAAAAACGTATGAGTATGACGTTACATCGGTTTGAGCAATATTCCAGTCACGTAACGATTGGGAAAGCTGCTTCACATAGCATTGTATTAAGAGGAAATCAAATCGATGGTAAATGCTTTAAATACTAATCTACCCACTGCTATGAACAAAAGACCAAAGGTGCAATGCTTACCAAGTTCAGTAATTGGTGTGAATCCTGACCCATGTGTGGTATTGTGGAAGTTATTTATTGAAAAAAACATTTCATAGGTATCAAATTATTAGTCTTGACCATGTGACCAATACGATACAATGCTGACGTGAGAGATGCCTGGTCAATTTCGATCACGAGCATGTTCAGTCCACTATTTAAGTTCAAGCAAGGCATGCATTTTACTTTCAAACCAATTCGTTTGTTCTTTATGTCTTCGAGCAACGATACTTATTGCATGTTAGGTTAAGGCAAACTGTTGCACACACTTGTTTTGACAATAAAATCACACAGACGTTTGTAGAGACATTTTCCGCCATCCTTTAACATGTTTTGTTTAATTATGTGACACGTTAATGGCACAAATGTCTCAGATGGGTGTCTACCCTGATAGGACGTATTTGGCTTCAGCGATTCTTAAACAATCCAAATGTATTGAATGAATGATTATATCTATAAATCAAAGCGTGGTTTTTGGATATTAAATTGTTTTGTCTCTGTTCGGAAATCAAACCATAAGTAAATACCAGATACACAATAAATCATAAATTTGAATTTATTTTAATCTGTTCATTTAAAAAAAAAAGAAGACAAATCAAGCAATCGCTGTTCTGTTACTTTCTTACCATTGAAAAGTATTGAACACACGTTTTTGTCTGTTGTTGCCAAGCCATTGCAATTAAACAAGCAAATCACATATTGCCTTTGAAAAGCGGAGCTAAAAAATGAATTTCCTTACAGGAATATGGTCCATGAGGACTAACTCGAACTCGATGCTACTGGCAAAGCTGCCAATACCACACTGCTGTTGTCTAATGTAAGGCAATCTGTAGCTGTCCACGGGTTGAGAGGAGTTACTTATTAAAGGAAAAGTGTAAATAAGTCATAATCACAGATCAGCATTTGACAGGAATCAACAATCACTTAATTCAATGAATGTCAACATTCATTCGTGATTCCCTCAGTCTTGAGACATTTGTGTATTCACGTGGGGGATGTTTATGACTACTAGATGCAATGAGGAAACGTAGTTTTAGGAATGGAATAAAACTGTTTAGGTGTTACTCGTTTAGACTTCACTACCGGTGGCTTTTTCCCAAATTGCTCTAATTGAGACTGGCGTTTATAATGAAGGTTTCCATTGACCTGTGTAGACTCGGGTTCTGTTTTTGTTGTTGAGAACAATCTATTTTCCCCAGCTATTACCAATATAACCACTAAACTATTTGTTTGAAAGGTTTAGAAGTTGTATAGATGAAGGAAAACCAAGTTCTATGGATAGTCAACTTCTTTATGGCAATGAGTGCGACGTTTCGGTACTAACACCGTTATCAAGCAAGTGATACAAAGAGTTGTAACATGGAGAACATATACATAGCTGCCTAGTGAGTATATGCAATTGACAAGGTTGATGTACATTGGATTGCTGATTAGCGATTTGAGCAGAGTAGGTTGGTGTACAGAGTGATAGTGATAAGACAATATGCAGAATGAGTTTATACAATAGGCGAGTTGATGTACACTGAGATGGTAATAGTGAGTTGAAGAGAGTAGGTTGATGTACACATTGATTGGTTGTGATTACAATACACAAAAGCCAATTGGGTGGAGTAGTGGTGATCTTTAATGAGGTGGTGATAGGCCGAGGAGATAAGATAACTGTGATCCCGGTTCATGGTGGGATTGAAGCGTTGGATTTTTATGACTTCAATAAGTTTCCTAATCTTGTAGTCTGCTCGGTTGGTTTCTAGGATGTAGATGTTGTTCCAAAGGATGGCATGGTCAGGGTTGGCTTTGGTGTGGTCGGCTTTGGCGGATTTGGAGACTTTTTTCTAGACTGAAGTTTTGTGTTCTTTAATTCGTAGTGGGAGAGGGCGGGACGTTTCACCTATGTAAGAGTCTCCACATTGGCAATTGATATGGTAGACTACTCCTGTAGGGGTCTTCTTTAGTTGTTGATGGGGATTTTGCCTGTGGCTTGGAGAAGGTTTTGGATGGACTTGCCTTTCTGGAACAGAACGTCTATACCTGCTGCTGAAGTAGTCGTCTTATCTGGTGGCTGACTGCTGGGACATACGGGATACTTATTACGAAGGGTGCAGATTGTCGACGGGGTGATTTATCTCTTGGGTTAAGGGTGGATCTGATGACGTTGTTAACTAACTTCTTGGGGTACTGGTTATAATGGATGAAGACATGGTGGAGGTGGTTTAGTTCAGTTTTTAGGGCTTCTTTTGTCGAGCAGATGTTCTTGGCTCTCCGGGTAAGGGTTGAAATGATGTCTTTCTTAACCTGCAGAGGGTGATTGGAGGTGAAGTCGAGATATTAGTCGGTATTGGTGGGTTTTCTGTAGGCAGTGGTGAAGAGCTTGTACCAGGACGTCGAGGAAAGGGAGCTTGTTGTCAGATTCTTCTTCCATTGTGAACTGCATACGAGGATGTTGGGAATTCAGGTGGTAAAGGAGGTGTTCAGGGTCGTCGTCGGGGTTGAGGACTACGAAAGTGCCGTCTACTTTACTGTACCATCGTATTGGAGCGACGGGGGATGTCAGCAGGGCCTTATCTTCACGTTCCGTTATGTATATCTCAGTGATGATATGGGAGAGAGGAGAACCCATGGGTAGCCCATGGGTTTGCTGAAAGATCTTGTCAGACCAGGTAAAATAGGTAATATAGTTGACTATTCATAGAACTTGGTTTTCCTTCACTAAACTATTACCGAGCAACATCAACTTATCTGTTCAGTAGCCACACATGTATATTGGTTGACATCTGGTTTCTTCCTCAAAACCGAATATATATCTTCTCACAACCACCAAACCATCATTCATTTTGGGCATGAATATCAAAAATATCAGGAAGCTGAAAACAACTTGTAATATTCCAAGAGTTGTGTGGCATCGCAAAGATGAAATATATGGCAAAGGCTGTATATGTATGGTCGGTTAAACTCAACATTGTCTGCTGGCATGGACATTCCAGCTCAGAATTGGTATCCCAATGCTTGTAGAGAGAACCAAAATGAGGATCTGACGTGTATACGCCCCATTATACCCCAATAGTGTGCATCGTTCCTCATGCCACCAACCACTCTTTTGTCTGGTCGAGGGAATTGTTAAATTAAGGAAAATTTCAATGGATTGACATAAATGATGGTGCGTGATATAAAGATAAGAAATATGTTGAAAGTTTAAAATATTAATAAAGACAGTAGTTCAGTGCATCAGGTATATCAATACACTATCAATATATCAATACACTATCAAGGATATGAATAAACTATCAATCTACCAATACACTATCAATATGTCAATACACTATCAATATGTCAATACACTATCAATATATCAATACACTATCAATACATCAATACACTGTGTCCTTTCGCAGCCCCTGTCAAGGGATCAACACGAGCCACGATATGAGTCAAAGTTCTCCAAATGATGACAATGTTGTCTTCATTATTCACCTGCATGTCATGTCTAACACACAATCCCCGAGGCCCTACTAGCCCCCTTTTGCCTACGTGTACAGCTGTCAATAACGAGCTCTTTCCCCATCCAAGCACCGTAACAGCCAGCACCTCCAGGTTATGGGTGAACATCATTTACAGGGAGGGATATCGCAAATCCTTTCAAGCTACATTACAACATGTATCTAACTGTGCACCTACGCATTAGAGGAAACTCCTGTTTTATGTTACTCGTGAATCAGTGTGACAGTGGTTATGTAACCTAAATGTACCTTGTCCATACCTACTGACGTTCTCAGGCTCACCAAAAGGCCTTTCTGCAGTGAATACTGCTCCATGGGAGGACACTTCGCAAGAATGATTTCTAATTCACGAATTGTTTAACCACTTTGACGAGCGATTGATGAGCATTTGTCAGTTCAGGATGCTGAAAAGTACTGCAGAAAGTATTGGGTTTTTTTTCGAGTAAAAGGGTTAGGCCACTACAAACTGGTTGTCTGATGTCGTGGTCAGGGGACTGGGAATGATAAATTCAAATTATACAAACCAGAATTAAAGCCCCGAAAGACTTACCTCATTATAGGTATGTCTCCAGTGCACACTGAAATCTAACATGGTTAGTTTACATACAGGGCTTTTGTTTGTAAATTTTGTAAACATAGTTCATCAGTTTAAGCGGTAACAAATCCGAATACGATCACACCTTGTGGAGCAGCACCACGCTGTCCATTGCGAGAAAGGAAGACGGTGGCAAACCTGACGATCAGATACATATACCTCGTTGTGTCAGTATGATTCAAGATTCAAGATTGAAAACTTGAATCTTTAAAATCTTGTTGTGACAGTATGAATTAGGTTTGTTATTGTTTTCAGAACCATCTTTACACATGGTTATGGTATATCTACTCCATCAGTTCAGAGATTGGGGTGGCTCCTCCAGTAATCAGAACAAGCCAGAGTCACCAAGTCCAGGGTTGCAGGAGTGCTGGCTGTGGTGGTCTCCTATCTGAAGCCAGCACTCCCCCGATAGCCAACTGTGCATTTAACATACTGAGAATACCTGAACGTACACAGACCACCCAGTAGAAGTGCTGGTCGCTGAGACACTATATACGCTATAGGTTACATGCACTTCGGCGTAGAAACAGTAATTTATAAGCCCTGTTGGAGTTACGCGTCAGCTTTAATCAAATGTGCCGGGAGTAATTATAGATAAAGTAGAATCATAATTCTATGTGGAGCAGAACAAATTGAAAGTTTGGAATAAGATCTTAAAACCTTATCAGTGTCTGTGATTTATTCTAATCTAATTTACTTTAAAATTGAAAAAAAAATAGAGGAGAAAGATGAGTGCCAACTTGCAGTGTAAATGACATTATATGTCTGAAGACAATTTTGTAGGGCAAGGAAATAATAACAAGATTGACGGCATGTAGAAAAAACAATATACTTACAATTTAATGTACATTGTTAAGAATATCAGCGAATAAATTCGTTTTGATTTCACTCGCTTGATTTATATTGCTAACTCAGCTACCTTCTCACTCTCTCGTAGCCTTCTTCAGCCTGGCCCTCTCTTCCTTCCACATTCCTGGCAGTTTCTCATTCACTCAATCCCATCTCGTGCGCACTTCTTACATCACAATAGCAAAACCACACTTTCTCCTGCACCGCACACTCGTCACTCGTTTCACGGGTCTCCCAGATCGTCACACCTTCTTCTGGCACTGAGATGCTTTGTTCCTCACTCACACAAGTGCCGCCGCCTCTCTCAACAAACCGCTGAGTCAAAGTCGATGCTGCACTTCCACCAATACAGTTTCGTGTACGTCTTTCATATATGAACATCATATAGACGTGCGTGTCTCTCGGCTTCGTGTGTTTATGGACGTGTCAATAAAAGTGATAATGAAGTATTCTGAATTTTTTGGAGGAAGAAGTATCCGTAATGAGGGGTATTAGATAACAGCAGACTGTTATGCTTCTTGAATCAATAGATTCTGTGTCACTTTTCTACTTTTTATGATTTCGGGAATAATTAAATATATCTGACATAGCGATGTGTCTGCCAGCATAGAGAGAAAGTCTGCGTTTGTGTTGTCGCTCACCGTCAGCAGTCCGACTCCTCGTCTTGTTGGTGGAACGGCTACGAGGTGTAGCATCCTGCTCATTGCTTCAAGACGTCATACACCAACCCTGGCTCAGACTTGCACAAGTCTCTAAGATATTAATAGTTGTACATGATTGTTTTACATAATCGCACGGAACAAATACAAATCGATACTAGCCATTTCATATTACATGGAATGTTTTTATTGATTGGAGCAATCCATCTGAAAAGTCCCATTTCTCTCATTATGGACCGAAGCTAACTCTCACGTTGAAGATATGAAAACACGCGGCAAAATTACTCCGCATGAAGCTAATACCATTTTTGTGTTTGAATAAGTATTGATTGTCCAAATGCTAACAGAAATTTCATGCAATCCCATTTAGGGTTTTTCTCGTTAAAATGAATGAAAAACATATTAAGAATACCAACACTTTAGCTAAACATGGTTTGCATTAATGGTAGCCATTCTCAAAGCTCTGTCTTACCAAGTATTAACTGTGGTGATCAACTCTTTCATAGCGTGTCTCCATGTACCAACATGTTGCACCCTCGTCCTTAGACATTACATACAACTCTCATAAATATCTTAACATCCTTAATTTGTTATTAATGTCCAGCTGGAATCCTTTGCCTTCCGCCAGGATGATAACATGATGACCCACATCTTCTTTCAGGGGCTGCAATCAAGTGTTATAAGTGTCATAACAGCAACTCTGACGCATGCGGCGAGATCTTCAAGTCATACCAGTTCTCCACGTACAAATGTGCGTCTGAGAACATGAAGTGTGGCAAGCAAACGCAACCACCTATTACTCATAATGGCAAGGGTAAGTATGCTCATGGGATGAATCTGTACTTGACACTTTCACAAGAATTTCGTATCCGAAAGTTCCGGCGGTGCAGAAGCTTGTGACCAGTAAATGCTCTATTTCCATGAGGCTTACCACCATATCAAACTCCTTTGTTTGCCCCTGTTATGTTTAGCCTTGTATGGTCTACCTAGTTTCACTGAACAATGATCAGCAAGGTTTTACGGCTATTATCACGCTTCTAATCAGGTATACAGATTAATGTTTTGCCAGCAAAGACACACAATAAGTTGGTACATGTAGGCACAATACCATTAGTTATAGGTTAGCTTGGACATAAGAGAGTATTGTTAGTGTCGACTTCCAAAATGAAACAGTAAGTTACTGAATTCAGTATGATGCCAGCGTTCCACAAAGATGTGTTATAAAATGGCAATTTTATTTTAATGTGTATAACAAGGCTTACAGAGCAATACAAATAACTACAAAGTAATAACAATGACACAGCAGAGGCTTTACGATTGCAATGACAGCATCAAATACTGTCGATGTGGCGATAGGACTAAATAATATCAGTGATAACATCATTCACCTGGCAGTAACAGTGGCCAGACTCTCACATTCGACCGTGGCTGGATATCCTGGGTGAAACCTGCTGGTGTTGATGTAATGTGAACTGGTAGAGCAATACGCTTGCCCGCCTATATGGTCCATATTCCTTCCAGAAAAATCCATACTATGCTGAATTATTGTGTTGCTGTTCTATAAGATTCATGCATTGCTGATGTGGCGTTGAGGAACTCACTATAAACCTCTACCATGATAGTACATCCCGTGTCTCAACATGAACATACCCGTGAAGGTCCGGGTTAGAATGAACCTTCAGTAACCCATGCTTGTCGTAAGAAGCGACTAACGGGATCGGGTGGCCAGGGTCGCTGGCTTGGTTGACACATGTCATCGGTTCCCAATTGCGCAGGTCGATGCTGATGCTGTTGATCACTGGATTGTCCGGTCCAGACTTGATTATCTACAGACCGCCGCCATATAGCTGGAATATTGCTGAGTGCGGCGTAAAACTAAACTCACTCACTCACCCAACATCAACATACACACAATGTTGTGAGCTTCTGATAAAACATGACAAATACAAGGTTATGCAAATACGACATTGTTTAACAATTATGTTCACTGCCGTATAGCAATAAAGTGGAAGTTTATATATTCTGGTTCATGGACATGCCATGATTTTGTATGGTATATCTACTCCGTGCCAGTTCTTTGCATCTTGCTTTTCGAAAATGTTCATCTTACTATCACGGTTTAGTGTGTGGGTAGATATTGTGATATTTTGTAGATGGTAGACAGTGTAGATTGCTCTTAGCTTGATTAATACAATTCAATATTACCTTTCAACCTAAATCAAGATAAAAAGTATTTTATTTTCTGGTTTGTACTTATCCGATGTAATACTTGCATAATTCCAAAATGTTCACTTTTATTAATAGATTTACATTGTGGGTTATTCCAAAGAGAGAAATCACAGAATTTCCTTCCTCTGAAGATACCATGTTGCAGATACCAGTCAGACGCTGTTGTTGTGCGTGAGTGGCTTGTGGGCGTTTTCACCGGGTGTCTAAATGGCTGAATGAATGCAATGCACATAGGGACCTAATTATGTCTTTGGTGACGTGGTTCACTCTCACTAAGCCAGAATCTAACCGAAAAGGTCTTGTTAAGACAACATTGCACTATGGCTATGTGAGAGATACGAGCCAGGTAATTAGCATTTGCCACTGAAGCGTGAGCCTTTGTTCAAGGGCTATAGTCTGTATCTACAGTGCGACACGATTTAAGATGTATGCAAGTGGAGGTTGATTCTTCACGGGTCCCAGGTAGGGCTGGTATCGTCTTGGGTCGCTGTCGGGACATGGCGGCTTCACGGGTCCCAGGTAGGGCTGGTATCGTCTTGGGTCGCTGTCGGGACATGGCGGCTTCACGGGTCCCAGGTAGGGCTGGTATCGTCTTGGGTCGTTGTCGCTGTCATGGCGGCTTCACGGATCCCAGGTAGGGCTGGTATCGTCTTGGGTCGCTGTCGGGACATGGCGGCTTCACGGGTCCCAGGTAGGGCTGGTATCGTCTTGGGTCGCTGTCGGGACATGGCGGCTTCACGGATCCCAGGTAGGGCTGGTATCGTCTTGGGTCGCTGTCGGGACATGGCGGCTTCACGGGTCCTAGGCAGGGCTGGTATCAGCCTAGATCGCTGTCGGGACATGGCGGCTTCACGGATCCCAGGTAGGGCTGGTATCGTCTTGGATCGCTGTCGGGACATGGCGGCATCGCAGGTGTCGTTGTGGCGAAGTCGTCTGTCCAATTGTGCAGTGTCCCCGGTCGAATCGTGGTCTCTGAGGCCTGACAATTCTTCTGCCAACTGAGATCAGTAAGCTGCGTCTTGCCGGACACATGGCGTACACATAATACAACCCCAGCCTTTGGCATGACCCATTAGACCTCACCCTATCTGGCACCACTTCAAACACCACCAGCACAAACACCTTAAATCACGCACACACACACATACTCACACACGCACGCTCTCACACACAAACAAGCACACACGCACGCACCTAATCGTACAAATGGGTGAAATCTTGCATCTCAAGTTTTAATAGCGTGTCAACAAGTGATCACTCTCACTTGAGTGAGTGAGTGAGTGAGTGAGTTAGTTTTACGCCGCTTTTAGCAATATTCCAGCAATATCGCGGCGGGGGACACCAGAAATGGGCTTCACACATTGTACCCATGTGGGGAATCGAACCCAGGTCTTCGGCATGACGAGCCAACGCTTTAACCCCGCCGCCCCCTCTCTCACTTGATATTTGTTAAATAAACTGTTAAGTACGAACAGTTTTGGCAGGTCCCTGTCATACATGTTGTCAACAACCTTCATGTTCCATACATCAATGGCTGGTTGATGGCAGCAAGCTGCATAATGACGGCGATGTTTCCCCGACACATAGGTAATATTTTCCTTGATAGGATGTTTTGTGATGATTTAGAGATTTTACTGTGACCGCCATCTCACTTCAGTTGTCGAAATATAAAATCTACATCAACTTCATCAGTCAATATCTTATGAAAAGTATTAGTTCATTATGAAATTTCCTGATCATTTGACTAAATCTGTAAGGAAAACGTAAAGGTGTAATTCTGGATCTGGATATACACTTTACACTTAACTGTGGACATGAATATATTCCAAATGTGAATGTGAATGAATAGCCTGTTAAAGTAAATAAATGTTGCATTAATGTGATGTTCTTAAACGTTTCGTTGGGCATAACATTGCAACTAAATGTCTCGCTTCGTGTACCATTGCTCTTCGAATCCTACATCTCGCGGAATCTTTTCGTTTGTTTATTAAAGACAAACAAACACCAACTAAACCACCCCGTAGTTAACCCCCCTACCACTTCTGGCAAATTTGCAAATTCAAATTTAATACAAAATAAATTGTGACAACCTTCACGACCCCTTCAGGTTGCCCTTTCGGTCAAATCATCATCATCATCATCATCATCATCATCATCATCATCATCATCATCATCATTTCTGTCGTGGGGATAGCCTAATGGTGAAAGCGTTGGCTCGTCACGCCGAAGACCCGGGTTCGAATCCCCACATGGGTACAATGTGTGAAGCTCATTTCTGGTGTCCCCCACCGTGATGTTGCTGGACTATTGCTAAAAGCGGCGTAAAACCAAACTCAGTCAGTCAGTCATTTCTGTCGTTTGAAGGTCAACTCAACACTAAACTTCCTATCTCATCCGTATCAAATCTGGGATTTGTTTTATTAAGAGTAAAACATCAGTCACATTAATGTCCAAGCTGACCCACACGTTAGGACTTTCTTTATCTTTTGGATACAGTTACATTCATATGACCACAACACGTTAGGCCTACTTTCTTTATCTTCATCGCACTGGTTGTTGTTCTATCATTCATACAGTTACAAATGACCACAACACGTTAGGCCTACTTTCTTTATCTTCATCGCACTGGTTGTTGTTCTATCATTCATACAGTTACACATGGCCACAACACGTTAGGCCTACTTTCTTTATCTTCATCGCACTGGTTGTTGTTCTATCATTCATACAGTTACACATGGCCACAACACGTTAGACCTACTTTCCTTATCTTCATCGCACTGGTTGTTGTTCTATCATTCAGATCTATTTAAATATGGTACTCCGGGACGTGCAGCCTAAGTGTGGTTATGTTCGAGGTCTCAGGTCTCGTTGTCATAATAACCAGCCTCAGCATGGATGAGTCCCTTGACGCCAATAACTACGCGAACCTTCTTTGCTCCACCAGAACACTCCAGATAACCCTCTGACAAACACTCTTGTTAGCTGACAGTAAAGAAGTCCCAACACCATATTGAACCTTCATGTTATTCAAGTCGACAAATGATGGATGGATAGAATGTCATGTGTCACAATGAGTGACTTTCTTCACGTTATGTGGCTTATTGAACCGCTTTGGGTCCCAATTACAACTTCAAAGAGATTACATGGGGTATTCATCACAAGGACGATACTGTCAGCAATCACTGGTATCACGAAGACATAAAATAACATAAAATAGCATAAAGTCAAGCACATAGACACAGAGATAGAACAGACAGTTATAGTTTTCACCGTATTGCAATCCTATTGATCACCCCAATATGGTTTTACCTGAATCCCATTTGTTATCTTGCTATGGCCATACCGTTACTCAAATCCCATTGTTCATTTGGTATATTTGTCACCTCTCCAGAATTAAAGGTAATTTTTTACAAAAGATAAGAAGTCACACCATTCACCATTCACCCTTTTAAAAAGATATCTTCAAGACTACGGAGGAAATGCGGTTTGGAAATCTTGTGACTGTCACATGATAAGGCACTAAAGCCGGCTGCAATCGTCACCCCTATGTAAATGTAAAGGTAATCCTGAAGTCATTTCCACATAATTCTACCTGGAATATACATGAATTCTGCCCATCTGTCGTTGGTCAGTATAACTCTGTTCACCAGCTTTTTTCTTCTGCTAAAAACCGACAGAAGACATGAACTGACATTTAACGACTTATTTTATTTGGCATTCAGCGGTGTTTCGATATGGGTTCTATCACCTTATTGGGCTGGAATGGCGACTCATTTGAGTTATTGATGACATGCTGTGATAAACAACAGATTCACGTTAACATCATCCGTCACAAACCTCTGATCATCTGAGATCAAGGATATTACATCCCGTCTGCTATGAAAATCTAATCAAGAATTAGACTCGTTTAATTAGTATCCAGTCAGCTTGGCTCCAGGTGCTAGTTGTTGCTGTTTCTCTACCTCTGGCTTCACCCAATTATGAGCTACACGGTACTTGATATCCATTATCTGTTGTTGTTGGTCTGCTGCTATCTCAAGATGTCACCTTACATTACTTCATTACAGTTACTCCACTGCATCAAACGTTGCTGACTGCAATAAACGAGAACTTGGTATCAATAAAGTTGTACCATCCCAATTTACTCACCACTCTACAATGCCAGCCGAACATTGTTAACAACATATTGCACTAAATGGACATAAGCAACTCTAAGAGTGAAAGAGTTTAATATTGGTGCACCTGTACTTCTGGCAAAGCCCACAGGAAACAATACCTTGTTCTTCAGAGACGCCAAAAGTCTACGATGCATTACGTGTTATAGAGAGAGTACACAAAGCTCATGCTTACTTTCTGCTTGTCTTTTTCAGAGAACTGGGTGGGTGTTATCAGAACGTGTTACCCTGTGGGATCCCTCCCAGGCATCAACGAGACTGACGGATGCCACGACTGGACAAACCCATACGACAACTTCACGGCAGAATTCTGCTTCTGCAGCACAGACGGTTGCAACCCAGCAACCCGTCTCCATATCAACGGGAATGTTATTCTTCTGACCGTGGCCTTAGGCGCAGTTATGCAATATATGCAAACTATGTTATGAATATGTTGTTGGAATATCAGGCGAACTGTGTTCAATAAGCAATGCGCTGAGAGGTTGTACACATCCTTTGAATATTATAATGTCAAGTGTATTCAACAGCTATGTTATCTCGGTCGGGGTTTCAAAACGACTACATGATCAAAGCCTTTTGTTAGATCCTTCAACATTTGCACAAAGCGTGAAGCTCTTTCCTGTTACCACAGAATATGTTTGCTGGAAAATTGCACGTGAAGGCGTAGGACGCTCTTTATGCTAAAATGTGGGTTGATGTACACGAACAATGAACACAGCACAATACTTAATCAGGTAAATGGCTTCTCGGCTCTTCTTACTCTCCTCCGTCATCAGCCACAACGGCATTACCATCGTTTGTTATATATTTTGAGGCGTAAGGTGGATTGTACTTATTAGAAAAAGATCTTCATTATCTATTTATAAACATCTGTTATGTATCAAAGCGATACATGTTGTTTTTGATATAAAATTATTTTCATATTTAAGTGTATCATTTATGAAACATCGAACAGTTAATATAAATAATGTTTTCTCATCATTCTTAACTGATTGTTGTCAAAATATTTTTCTGTAGTCTCGGTGTTATGCTAACGTTATGTTGCTGTAAATAGGAATCTATACACATGCGATGTACGCTGCGTATGTATACGTAGTACAATCAGTTGTCAGGAAGGAAACATTGGCAAATGGGTATATACTTCTGTGAAGACAATCGGTCACGTGTCCAGTTTCGAGAGAAGGAGATCTAAATGGGTTACGACGATGAATCATGTCCAAATACAGCCGTCGTTTCCCTGTTGGAGAGCCAGACCCTTTTCCAAGAGGTCTTACCATATACAATACCCGTTTTAAGGGAAAGAGGTCGTTATATACAGCTGCCATCTGGAGCCTCTGCACGCCACCCTTTGACGTCGCTGATGGTTCTTTCACATTTCACTTCTTGGTATTTACCTATTTGCGGGGCACAGGTCGAGACCAGTCTGTCTGTCCAGATAGGGTCGTGACAAAAGTCCTCACAAAGAAACGGCACAAACTAGGCGTGCAGACGTTGGTCCCTGCTGTCTACAGCTGGTGTTGCGTTCTGCTTGAATAGATGAGTGTTGAAAATGGTATTTCTGCCCTTGACGTCTCTTGTCACCGGTCTACTGCAGTCGGTTGATAACACATTCACGCTTTACCAGCCTGGAACATCCATGTGACACTCAGACTCATCTTGCCCCATACATGTCATGATCTTACAACAGATAAAACGGCGAGATACCTGTATAGCCATTTGTAGCATAACCGTCGATTGATTCAATTATCATATTACCTAATCCGACAGTTCGGGTTATTGGAGCTTGTTGTACAGAGTGGCTTCTCTCATTTGCTAGGATCCGATGATGGTGGGTTTGAATCCAAAAAGCACTATTCATAACTATAATGATTATAATGTCATCATTGTTTTCATCAAGTATAAGAAATTAGGGTCGGGCGTTTGGTGAGCAATAGGCTCAGCATCACAGCCCCTAGCTCGTCTATATGTCCATTGTCTGCCCATCGAATACAAGTGTAGATGTAGATATATGTCAGTGTTCACCGATAAGGATGAGAGGCTTTCATCCTCTGTCACGGGGCCTTGAAACGACAATTGCCGGATTGCCGCTGACTGCAATATGTATTTCTTTTTTTGTGTGTAAACTGTCTTACATAGTTAAAACAAACAACGACTATAACTTGCTTAGATTGTAACACGTGATGTTCTGTGAAAAATAAAGTCGAAATGCTATGTTGGATGTGGGTTTTTTCTCTGTGCGTGTGTGTGTGTGAGAGGGGGGGGGTGCAGCGGGCGTCAAAGGTGAAAGTTCCTGAATAGAGAAAGATACTTCATGCTTTTAGAAATTAATCATATTGAAAATGGGTAGCTCAAGGTAGTTAATATGGGCGAATACCAGGTTTGACCTGACGCATCGGCCCATTTCAACTGTGGTGTGGGGTGCATACAGCGCGTACTTGTGAAGGGTCAGGTGACCATAATTTCCCCTGTGTAGACATCAACACGTGCAGAATTTGCTGGTGATTAGAGAAAAACATGTTAACAACCCTTGAGAGATACACAATTCTCATGCTGCGCCTTAAACAAATGTTGAACACGAACGTGCAGTTGGCATATTCCAGCCTACTGTGGTTGTTGCATCTGCCATGAGATGCAGTAGACGGGCAATTCACAACCTGAGGACACGTGTGCATCAAACAGGCACGACACCTGATCGCACCAGGTCAGAACGGCCACGTGTAACGTCACACGCCGAGGAAATCATTCGGCTACGTCATTTACGTAATCGTTTACGAGCACAACGTCAACCAGTAACGCACTGTTTAGGGGTGGCGTAACATCACAGACGATATAAAACCGCTTGCGCGCTGCCCACACGCTTGCCGACTTCCATATGTCTGGCGGATTCTGAACCAGGTAAACCGTAATTAACGTCTACGCTAGGTACAGTGGCACCTGCATATGGCAAAATTTCCTACACCTGACCTCAATCACACTTCTAGCCCACCGAACACCTATGTTCCTTACGTCAATGAACCAACGAGATGAAAAAGCAGTACGGCGACAGGTGCGAAGTGCTGTACACAGACAAGGATTCCCTGCCTGCTGATGGAAATTCACACCGAGGACGTGTACGAAGACATGAAGAAACACATGTACCTGTACGACACCAGCGATTACCCTAAAGATCACCAGACTGTTGTCCCTACTCGTCCATATCATTGCACCTAGTCGATATCGTTGATATCGTTGAACTTATATTATTCGTCCCGACTGCTGTCCCTACTCATCACAATCATTGTACATACTCGTCCATATCATTGCACCTAGTCGATATCGTTGATATCGTTGAACTTATATTATTCGTCCCGACTGCTGTCCCTACTCATCACAATCATTGTACATACTCGTCCATATCATTGCACCTAGTCGATATCGTTGATATCGTTGAACTTATATTATTCGTCCCGACTGCTGTCCCTACTCATCACAATCATTGTACATACTCGTCCATTAAGATGTCCACACAGGATGGCTTACAGATCATGTGCAATACCACTGGGCATAAAACACGGAGGTAACGTCTCACACATATAAAATTACGGCTACGGGATAATTAACCTTTCGCATGAAATTTTCATTCAAACAAAGGTTGTCCCACATCGGACATAGCATATTCTGTAAGCAAGCTACGTGAATGCTGCCACCTGGAAGAAATCCCAGGAACTGGCCATACATTAATCGATAATTGCAGTTATCAAGTTCACGTCGCATCAGTTTATGAAAAACATAAACAAACATGCTGACATGACTCTTCCCTTCCTAAGGGGTGCACACGCAAGATGTCCTCCACAACCGTGGAATTTTGTCTTAAACCTGTTACTTGTTACAGCACACTCGGTTGAAAACAGTGTCATTGTTAAGAAATACACACTAGTATAGGGATTTCTTTCTTGTTCGTAAGTCGCATTAAGATGGCTGTGTCTGTCATGTATTTTCTGAACAAAAGCTGATGACGAACTGGATGAGGCGACCTCTCTGTTATCAACAATCCACCTTTCTAAACGCTTACATAGCGATGTTTCTAATACAAATGTACTTTGCTAAGAGCAGATGTGAAGTGTGAAGAGTACTCTGAAGGGTTTCGCTTAGCTTTACTCTTATCCTTGTGTACTGGACGAATGAGGCCGTTTACTGAAACCTGGAATATCACACTTAATGATGAATGAATGAATGAGAATATTTATAACGCGCCTTTTCCAGGCAAGATATCCTGTACAGAGCGCACAATCACATTAGTATTACCCCGGATAACCCAAGCTGCCTGTTAGGCACTAGAACAGGGATGTCAAGTGTTCCACGACATATCTAATTCATAGAAAGGCACTACCAACCCACACAACAGCACAAGGTCTGAGTGAATGCACTAACCAGTTTATTAGACAGTCTCGAGATCTGTCAGATATATCAAGTCAAGAATTGTCAACATATGTTTACAATCAATTATTACATCACATCAGTTATAGAAGTACATCAGTGTGATGACCATTAGATGATCATGATGTAGATTCATTATACAAGATACCTAATACAGTAGTCACGATAAATATACCAAGGTACACAACGTAATACAACAGTCTTAATGAGATTAATGTAGTATACCCGACCCAAAATGAGTCACAACAGACTGATCAAAACTGTCCGTGATGTTGCACTGTCAGTACGAATCCCCCGTACAGTCACCAATGCCATCTTTCAGTCATGGGAGACACATCCCCACACCATAACTGAGCCTCCACCCAAAGGGACAGTAGGGTGGATGTTTCTGGGCACATATATAAGCAGTGTTAATGTGCCTTCAAACTCTCAGAGGACCATCCGTAACATGAAGCAGGAACCTGCTTTCGTCTGACCAATGGGTCCGTTCAAAGGTCGAAATATTCCAGCGCCGTCGAGCACTACTGCAGACGTTGACTTTGATGTTTATGAGTCAGAGCTGGGCGCCTGATAACCCTTCGGAACCTCAAACCATGCTAGAGTGGTCTTCCTTGGTTGCCCTGGCCTTATTTGATCCTTGACAGAGCCTGTTTGTTGGTGTTTCCGGATAAATGTACTGACGACAGGTTGGCAGTGACCCCGATGGCCTTGAATGACATGTCAGCTACATGCATACCCACTGTCTGCTATCTCAGTCCCAATGAAAGTCTTACCTCGCCATGTTAACGTGTATGGATGAAAGGAATGGCATATTCACAAGTTGTATACCATTGAACGATCAGGCAAAGATACTGCTTTTCATGATACGAATGGGTAGCATGCTTCACATGAATGTAGGCTTAGTCTTGGGAAACGCTTCCAAACTGAATCCTTGTTTTTTATTACCTGACATGTGCTGCTACACAATGGCACCACTGACATTTCGTCAACATCGATAGCTACATCACTATGATAAAATATAACATGGAGTAATTCATTAAGTTCCATGTGTATAGATAACAGAACTGGCCTAGTCTATGCATAGCAGGTATACAATTGGAATACCCAAGGTATTTACACAAGTATGACATTTCAGTTACTAAGTAGTCCTGCAGGTTACTAAGTAGTCCTGCAGGTATTACCTGGGGTAATAACACATATTAAAACTTTAAGTTAGTAACGTTTCTCACCCTCAGGGAAGAAAAGATCAGGGCCCCGTTCCTCCAAGCGATGGTAGCTAACTGACCGTAACTACCGTGACTATCATAGACTTCCGACTGTCGTACCGCTACGTTCGTTTTGAGGAACGGGGCCCAGGTTATTAGACAGACACAAGTTAAATTGATTTTTGACTGCCTGTCGTCCATATTTATAGCTGTTTCAGCTACTACAAATGCGGCTACTACTGTCTAATGTACTGATTAAAGTGACGATAATGTTATTGTGAACACGACTGGCGCGAAAGAATAATATAATTCATTATGACCGACGCATTGGTTATAGATGTGCTTGAGTGAAATTTAGTAGGAATTATAGATGACCAGTCCCAAGTATGCCACGATTATATATGTGGTACGTGCGATTTCATAAGGGTGGAATATAAACAGAGCCGTACATACAGAGATTTCAGGTGATGTAGCTGTTCTATTTTTAATAGAAATGATAAATAAATGTTTTTAAATGTTTCACAAAGTAGTGCATGTGAGATAAAATGTCAACAAACTATCTTAGTTACGTCCTTAGTAAACGTAAAGTCACTAGCTTTAATATAGAAGTTTCGGATACCTGCAATTACGTTGTAGTTAATGTCCCGACATTCTACAGCATAATGGCTTCCATGTAACGTTACAGGTCCAAACATTCCGCCTCTTCTCCGCAGTCGATCCACCGTCGTACTGACTTCTACAGACGTACAGCAGTTGGTGATGACGTCCTGATGACAGCAGATGGCCAACACAACAAAACTCCACCATGTCTTCTTACCAGTGTAGATACCTACGTTTGTTACCGCGATTTCGACAAATGTCCATCCCTCTTCAAGCATCTTTACTAGCCTACTGTCATGTTTGTATTTGTTGTTCTCGCGTGTACAGATATAAGCTCTCTGCTTACAAGCTTCCATTCACATGATGAAGGAATAAGAATATATCCTGAAACATTGTGTTCTTTATAATTATAAAACAGTGGTTATCCATGAAATCGCCATCACCTTTTCGTGTGTCATCGCATATTTGTAAAACAACACCTGGTACTTGTTGATAGGTTGT